ATTTCTGTCCTCGTCTCCCATCAGCTCTACACATCCTGCAGTTCTGCCCAGCTCTACTAAAAAGTCCTTTAATTATTGTCAAATTACTGTCGGCTGCAGCTGAATGTTTATTCACTTTTCAGTTGCGTTGAGCTGCGCAGAATATTTAGTTTTTTACACAATTTAGTCATTTAAAATGGTTTATTTTTGGTAAATTTTTAGAGCTTAGATTTGGTTGATTTTCAGAACTCGGCGCTACACAGGGTTAGTTGTGAAAGTTTTAAATCCCGTCATTGTTTATTTTTTTAAAAATCTTTTTTCAGTTTCTTGCTCTAGTGAATGGTTTAATTTAAATAATTAGATTTTTAAAGACTACCCGAGGTTTAAGCCCATCACTTGGGTGTAAATCGGAGTGTATTTTTCAGTCGATCAGAGTTTTAAATCGGTGACGTTCGTGTTCTGGTGGCGATGAGTTTGACTTTAACCAGCTGTGATCGGTTTGCCGACGCAGAGAAGTGATGAAGAGATGAATTAAAATAACCAGGTCCAGAAAAAAAACAGAACATCGAGGAATATGTTCTGAAAGAAGAGAAAAACTGATGAAAAAGCAGACGAGCAAAAACCCAGAGGAGGACGTTTAATGCTTGTTTTTTGCCACACCGGACTTCAAATTGAATATTTTTTGGGATTAGTTCTGTTAGTTGGACAAAATGTGGGTTTTTTTGTGGAGTGACTCGACGGATCCACGTTAGTGCTGCATCTAACCGTCACTGTTGATTAAACCGTCAAGAATTAAACCGCTGGTCGATAAAACGACAGAAAATGTTGAAAAATCTAATTTTCCCAAAGCTCAAGATGACAAATGTCTTGTTTTTTCCACCACCTGAAGATATTTAGGCTTTAAAGAGGAGGAAAGAAACTAGAAAATATTCACATTTGAGCAGCTGCAATCAGAGAAATGTGACGTTTTCCTCAAATCTATTAATCAATTAGAAAAATAGTTGGTTAATTGATTATTTGTTGCAGCTTCAGTCTGTGTACAGTGAAGGTGATGAATCCTTGTTGTGCTTTGTGACAGAAATCTGGATTTTTTTTTGTTATTCTGACCAAAGTGAATGAATCCTCCATCAACCAGACAGTTCAAATATGTAGTTCTTTTAAATTCTTGTCATTGTGACGCTGCTTAAAACAAACAAACAAACAAACAAATCCATGCAAGCTGACGTTTTTCTCTCTCTCTTTTTTTTTTAAAGTTATTTTTTTGGCCTTTATTGGATAGTTTTAGTCAGACAGAGACAGGAAAGTATGGGAGAAGAATGGCGGGAGGACGAGTGGGAAAGGGTCATGAGCGGGATTCAAACTCATGACCTCCACATCAGGACTGTAGCCCTGCACATGGGACACCAGCTCAACCAGGTGAGCTATAGCGGCGCCCGTTTTTCTCATTTTTGTTCATTTGTGTTTTCTGTCGTGAATCCAGGACACGGCTCTGGGGAAGCCGAGGGAAGTTTACCGCTTCCCCGACGAGTCGGGCCGAGCCGAGGACCGACTGTGCGCCTCCCTCAGCCTCACCTCGGCCACCTGGGCGGCTCTGTCGGACGGCGGCGGGCGGCTCTACCTGCTGCGAACCGGCAAGAGGGGCGACGGCAGCCACAGCAGGTGGGAGGTGAGTGGAGCGCTTCGTTCTGAGGGCTTTCCAACACGCAGAAAGGACTAAAGCCTGACCTGAAGCAGCGACAGGAGTGACTCAGCTCCACACGGCTGCTCTGTCATCTGCTTGTTTGGCTCCACACATGCAGTTTATCAGCGTTTGCGAATGACACCAGCTCATTCACAACTGTTGGAGAGCTGAGAGGCAGCAGCAGCAGCAGCGTGTTGTGTAACGCTGAGTCACGGCGCTGTGATGCTGGATTAGTCGGTGGAAGATGTGACTCGCCTTGAAAACAAAAACCACTGAGTCAAAGTTTGTCTCATCGTCACTGAATCCCACTGAAAGACCAAAAGCAGCCGTGAGTCTGATCTTATTAACCACATGATTCTCTTCATAAAGTCGTATTGTTCCACACATACGAGCATCTGTGGAGGATCAGAGTGTTTCTACATGTACAGTAACTCAGGACGGTTATTTTCTACGTAGAAGAATGTAAATGTCAGCAGGACGTCTGCATGTTGCTGATTCATTTTGACTTTTCTACCTTTACTGCTGTAGCTCAGCAACTTATCTGGTTTGATCTTTTCTGGAGCACAGAATAGTTGGTATTTTACACAATCTGGTTCCTCCGACTGGTTTATTTTGGGAACATTTTCCAAAGAAACACGTAGAATGAAGCGATTTTGATCAAATATTCTGATTTTAAGCTCAGATTCGGTGCTTTGGATCCGATTCGACCATCTGAGACGTGAAAATCGGATCATTTTTAAAAGGTTTTTACAGTTTCTGATGCAACTTTCATTCCTGCCGGTGGGTGCAACAGAAATAAAGTTCAGTATAATTATTTTTTTTAACCCTCTTGTGTAAAATTTGCCACCAGCTGCAGTGAGCAGAAGGTTAAAGAGCATTTTAAAGATAAAAACTATATATTGTGACTTCAGCAGGCTTTAGTTGTGCAGACAGCGCAGAGAAATCAGGAAATATTCAGAAGTTGTTGTTGTTGTTTTTTTTTTAAAGGGATTTCTTGATTTAAAAAGGATAATGCAGAACTTTCCCAGCAGCTGTTTGCATTATCAAACCCACATTCCTGCTCCGTGTTTTTAGACATTTCCACCCAGAATGCACTGGGTAGAGACAGCGAGGCCGAGCCGAGCGACCTCATGAATAAAAGATTTGAAACGCAATAAGTTAGAGCTGAAATACAATAAAATAAGTGAGAACGTCCAGCAGAAACTTTAATGAAAAGAGACTCGACGACTGCCAGTCTGTGAACACTGACGCCACTGGATCCTCTTCTAGAAAATCTGCCGCTTCGCCACGTTAGACGCAGCAGAAATGAAGAAATAAAGAAAAAAAGCAGGCGGCTGGGATTCATTAGCAGATAGAAGAAGACTCTGTGTGCACTTCTACTGTTTTAAATGAATCAAACCAACTCATTCTGTCTAGACGTGATTATAAATGTGGATTATTATTCCTCACTGCAGCTTGTCAGAAGCAGCATTTGTTTTTTTTATTATTTTTTAGGGGGGATGTTATGCAAATCCGAGCTTCAGAACCAATTTCTGTGTTTAAAAAGCTCAGCCAGCCTTTTGGCAAATTGGCTCGCAGCGTCGAGGGATGAAGCCTTTCGATGAGCCTTTGTGCGCTTTTTATCCTGTTAACAGGCGAGCGGTCGGGATCCACGACGGTCGCAGCTCCGCCGGCCGAGTCCAAGAGCCGAATTTGTAATGAAGACCCGAACCCTGGAGTCACGGCTCCTCGTTTTAAGTTTGTGCATCGTCGTAAACTGACTCGGCTTCACGTCACCGTCCTTCGTCCGCACGCTGATGGAGAAGTACTGGCTGGAATTAGCTTTTCATAGCTGGAATAGAGACAAACGAGTCGTCCTCAGGGTGCAGGGAAGTCCGTTTAAGGCTCAACAGCGTTGGTTCGAGCCTCTTTTACAGCCACAACCAGGAGAATTTGTACCATCTTCTGTCTCAGAAGAAGCACTTTTCCTGAAACTTTTAACTTCCGCAGCCGCTTTTTTTAAGAGTGAGGAAAGATTTATTGAGTGAATGATGTAAAATTCAGCCACTGATGTAAAACGGAGGTAACAGGAAGTGACTCCAGTCAAATATTAACATAAATCCTAATAAAAGGCCGTTTATTGGGCTGTAAAATGGGAATAATCTGAATATCCAGCTGTTGGATTGTGGAGGATTGTATTTGTTCTGGTGGCCCAACACCTGGAGACTTTTTCTGCTATTAGCAAAATAAAGCAGGTTCATTATGAGCTTCCACAACCCACACATCTGTCGGTTTTATTTTGCCTCAGCGAGGATTTAGCTCTGTACAACCTGAAATGTTCTGTTATCACTTAAAAAAAAATATAAACTATTTTAAGAGACTCAGATATATATAATCAGACATGAAGACATTTTTAAGGAGGATTAGTTGATGTATTGATCATATTGACAGTGAAGGAGCCGATCATTTATCATTACACCATTATAACGGATGGATTATTGATGAGTTAAAATCAGTGTAGAGTGGTGAAAGTGGTCAAATCTACGGTGGCCCAGAAGTGTCACAACAAAACAAAAGCCGCAACACAACACAACACAACAAGCCACAACACAACCAAAAGCCACAACACAACACAATAAGCCACAACACAACACAGTAAGCCACAACACAACACAATAAGCCACAACACAACACAACAGCTGCAACGGAAGCTGTTTGCAACGGAAGTGTCCGCATTAACAAGTCAAACAAGCAATGCGTCTTTATTTGTAAATCAAAGTTAACAACCGCTTTAATACTGAGATTAATGGACACTATTTGCCGTCAGTATTTTACTTACTTCTCGAGTTGTTTCCATTAATCTCGGACTTCTGCCCACTTCATGTGGTTGGACACTTCACTGTATAACTTCCGGGTTAAAAAAACAACAACTTCCGTTGCAGTGGTTGTGTTGTGGCTTTTGTTTTGTTGTGACACTTCTGGGCCACCGTACAAATCCCTTGTTTTGTGCGACTGATGTCTGTTTGCAGTAGAAAGAAATCTTGGTGTCAAAATTTAGAATAACGCCGTTGAAATGACTTAATTTCTTAAAACATCCATGTTTTTGATTTTTGTAATTTTTTTTTGTAATTTTTATAAAATTGTAAATTTTCATATTTTTCATGTATTTTTTTGTTTTAAATTAATTTTACACACCTAGCTTGTCCTGTTTGTCTTGTTTTTTTTTGTTGGTTTTAAATTATGTTGTTTTCCAAATAGTTTTTTTTAGTTGGGAGTTGAGTCTTAATCCTCGTCTTTATGTTGCTGCCCGACTTTGAGCCACTCGGTTGGTTTTAAACATGAACTTAATTTGATCTGAGTTGTATTTTATGAATGTTTAATTAAAGGAAACATTCATCCTTCAATTCTGATTGGCTCTTCGTCATCATTTTTATGTGATATGTTCTTTTGGGAGTCGGTTAAACTAATTAACGATACAGAGAATTGCAAAAATGCAGAATACTGGATTTGATAATCGACCGTTCTGACGATCAGTCGACCCCGAAATAATAATTTTAGATCTTTTTAGTGGTTTTATGCAGATTGTGTTGAATGAAAATGATTTTTTTTGTCACTTTGTGTTGCTTTAGAATATCAGTAACTGTAAAAACATGGTGAATTAACTTGACTCCGGTGCTCAGATGAAATATTAAACCCTAGTTGTTGTTTTCTCTGCAGCCGCTGTTCACCGAGGACTTGGGGGAACCCTTCACCGTCCTCCACAGCGTCTCTCACGTCCAGTCCGGCGTCCACAACATGGAGGTCCTGCTGCTGCGAGTCCAGAAAGACCCGACGGAGACCAAAGGCAGCGGCTACTCGGTGTGTCTGGAGTGGATCACGGTGGCCAGCGCCGCCGGACACGGTGGGTGGTTCCCCGACCCGAGTCCGTTTGGTCACCGAGCACATAGGACGTAATCAGGATGTTGTATTTCAAGCCGGTTCTGGTTGTTTAACGCACATTTCTTGACAGCGTTTGATCCAGGAGGGGAGTGAAATCCTCGTTAATTAAACCACCGCAGGATGTTAGTCATCGTCCTCCATTAATGGAGTTTAATTATCACGTCCCAGATGAGGTTAGTGCAACGCTGAAGCAAACACTGGCAGGAAGGATTTTCATTACGGTTCTTGGCTCTTTGTGGAGGAAAAAAAAACCCAAACAGAGCCACCCTGACTAATGATTCACATACTGGACTAAACAAGAGGAGCAGCCTTTTCAGAGTCTCTTCTTCCTCATTTAGGCGGATTTAAAGACGCAGCCTTTGATATCTGCTGGCTGCAGCTCTGATTGTTTGTTTGACTGAATCTACGTTTTGTTTAGTCGGCCCCCCGGGTCTGAATGTCCGTTTTGTTCACGCTGTTGTGCAGGATGTGGTAAAGCTTTGTCGAAGGAATCGATCAAACTTGAGAAAGTTGTTTAATCTGTGACGTCATCAGACAGAGCTGAAGGATGTTTCTGTCCGATATCGTGACACCTTTCCAGTATAAAGCTGCTGCTGTGCGTCTGGTTTGACTCGTTGGTGTAAAACGCGTCTCGACAACAGTCTTGTTCCTCTTGTTTGTCGCTTTAGAGCTCGTCATGCCAAACAGTCTCGTTAGTCACATGTCACTCGCTCCAATTTGGAATACGTCACCTGACATACAGAAGATGTCTCATTTTGGAAGGTTTCCCTCCTTTTTAGCCACATTGTTCTGGATTTTAAACAACTCATGCGTGCTCATGTTTTTTTAGGACGGTTTAACGTTTATCTATGATTAACGAAGCTGCTCAGGTAGAATGACAACATAAATAACTTTTAGATGAGCTTTGTAAAGCCAAACATCATCTGTTTTTACTGGAAAGCACCTAAATGTGTCCGTCTCATATGTTAAAAATAAAACACTTTTTTGACTACATTATCTATTTCATACTGCATGTTTGGGTTGAATTTGTTTTTATTATTTTTATAATTTGACATTTTCTTTATTATAAAGTACTGATTTCGAAAGGCGCTTAACAAATAATAAGAATTCTTCTTCTTCTTCTTCTTCTTCTTCTTATTATTATTATTATTACTAAGAAAGAAAAATGTGATGCTTTATGTTTCATAAATAAAAGTTTGGTAAGACTGAGTTAAAACTGCTAAAAAGAATCTCTGTGGGGAATTAAAAAAAAAAAAATGAAATACTAATAATAATATTTAAAAAAACGTTTTTCTTACTGAGCAGTTTATAATATTTTTTAGGGCCACTTTAACATTTATCCATAGCCAACAAAACAAACTTATTTCATTCGTAGTCTAATTAAATCCCGAATGTTTCAGAAATATGACGTGATTTATTTTGGCAAGACTGATTTAACATTGATTAAATAATCTCAATATGAATTAAAATTAAATAAGCAGATAAACAAAATAATATATTGATAATAAATACTGTTAATAACAGCTCATAGCATTTTAATATTTATTCATGAAGACTAGTTTGAGAGATGAACGTGTCGTCGTCTGACCTGCAGCAGCTTCATTAGAACGGTGGACAAAAACTGATGTTTATAACTGTTTATGATGGCAGGAGCAGTAGGTGTAGGTGGGTTGTGTTTGCAGCCAGATGCACCCAATAAACAGGAAACTGAGAGTTTAAAACATGATCAGTAAACCCCCCAAAAACCCACTTATCATGCACACAGTACCATCGTTACTGGTAAGTGGAAAAAGTAAAATATAAAATCTAAGAACCCCCAAAACAACAACATTTACAGCCGAAGATCTGATGGAATAAAAGACAGTTTATACCTTCAACTGTTTCACACCTTTCATTAAGACTTGGTTCTCTGCTTTCTGATTGCAGGTCAGGAGAAGAAGTACGAGGTGAGGAAGAGGAGGCTGCTCCGGGGGAAGTCGGTGCCTCACTACGCCGCCGTGGAGCCCAAAGGCAAAGGGCTGATGGTGGCCTCGGCCAAACCGTTCGTCTTCACGCACGTGGACGGTCGACCCGTGGAGCAGCCGGAACCAGAACCCATGGAGGTGGAGAAGACAGGTGGGTCGGAGGGGGGGCTGCTGGGAGAGCTGCCAGGAGGGCTGGAGGAAGCTTCCTGCTGGGGTTTTACTGCTTTACAGCTGAACTCTGTCAAAGGCCAGACTGATGCTGCTCGTTGGTGGTTTGAGAACCAAAGTGCAGTTGAAGTAGGGTGCAAAGTTTTTTTTTAAACCAACAACCAGCAACATTATCGATCAATATTTATTTAATCAATAGCAATATTTGAAATCGTCGACTTTGTTCCATCTTCTTAAATGTGATTAATTAGTTATTTATCATGTTTAGTCCACATCTGGTGTGGAGCAGACTGTACAGACCGCTACCTTGTTTTGCGTCATTCCTATTTGCTAGTTTCTAATTTAAGCTAACTTTTTTACGCTAATGTAGTTTATTTTTGACACCGGTTATTAGGCACAGAAGTTGCTTGGTTACTGGGATGTAAATATGTCATCTAAACAGAGTCCGGCTCATTGTTAATTTATAAGCTTTGGCTGGAGGTCATTAAGCGTAACAGAAGTCTTTGTCATGGTCCCGTTGCTAGCTAAACCCCCACGATGCTCTCTACTCGACAACATGAACTACCTGTAGTCTGAGTGACGCCTCCTCTGGTCTCTACAGTGTTAAACAGTAAAAGACTCCATCTGGTGGAACAACCAGGTACTGCAGCGGATCTCTAAAACATTTCCTAGCATGCACGTCCTTCCTCTTCTGCATTTGTATGTTTTTAATCCGCTATATGATTAACAGCAATGACTCAATTAATCATCCCTAACTTGGAGTTTCTTGTTTTCGTGCGTCACTGAAAAAGGAGAATTATTGCACCAACTTACATGAACTGGTTCACCTGGTAACACAATTTAATTATGTTTATCCATGTTTAGGTTGAACAAGTAGCACCACTGGGTTAAGCAGGATGTACTTAAACTATCTGATTCCTCGCAAATGAACCGATTGCATTGCTGCAACTTCATTTTCAGGAAACTTGAAGGTTTTGCGACATAATTTTGGCATTTCACTGAACTTTTCTTTACCCTGTAATGCTACGTGAAGAAGTTCAGTTGCAGGAGAAAAGAATCTGAAGAAATGTTGACCTAAAGCAGCAGTAAATCTCATTTTTACACTTTGATTAAACTTAGAAGTAAAGAAGTCCAGAAAAACAGAAAGCTCAGTGAGATTCAATAGAAAATACGACAGCTCCAGTGCACTTATTACAGTGTTAGCATGTTAGCATCATGTCCTGATTTCAGAAACCTGAATAAACCCTCCTCCCTGTTTTTAAAAACCTGATTAGCTGGAGCATTCACAAAACAAACCTGCCAAACTGTTGCATGTATACGTCAGAGTGGACGACGTGTTTGATATTTGCTGCTGATCTTCCCGTTCTCCTGCTAATCCTGCTGCAAACTAAAGGTTTCATTTTCAGTCGCCGCAGTCAAATGAATTTAAGGCTCAGCGGACAGTACGAGGAACTAAACTGCCAGTTTGTGTCGTAAAGATCCCAACACTGAACCAGTAATCCGTACTGGTATTTATCACGCCGGCGTCATCCTCCAAACATGATCAACACCACCGTGAGCCTCGTTGCTGTCGTGCACGTAAACACAATCAGTGAATGATAAACTGCAGTAAACAGACGCCATCTGTGAGCAATAAAAGCTCCACAAGCTTCTGCGCGGCTCCAAAAAACTGGCTCGAAACAAATCAGTTTAAAGATACAGTAATTGTTTTATTTATTTCTGTGGTGAGAGAATCTTCGCAGCAATGTGAAAATCTAAAGTTTGTTTCTGGTTGTGGTTTCGCGGCCATCTGCCTCCGTACGTAGCCAGCAGATACAGAGCCGCATTAGCATTCATCAGCAGTCCACTTTCTGCCTGAGAGAAATACTTCTACCACGAAATATTTCATTATCTTCACAAGTTGTTCTGACTTGAGTTTTGTGCCTTAAAGGAGGAAGTTTGTGGCTAAATTGTGTTGCATTATTATAGTCGACAGCATCGCAAACTGCATCCATTAAAACAACCATGAAGCTCAATCTTTTCAAAAAGAGTTCCAACAAAAACTGAGCATTTTACGCTTTATGAACAGAGTCGTTATCACCAGACTGCAGTACTTTTAGCTCAACATGCTCATTAATGTCACATTATATATTTGCACCTGAGTCGTTTCTTATAATGTTACAGGACTCACA